AAAAAATTTTTTTTTTTTTTTTTTTATTAATTTTAAAAAAGTTAATTCCGACCCTTAATTTTGTAAAATTCAAAAAATTAACTTCTTTACTTTATTTAAAATACCGTAATTTGGGTTTTTTAATATGTAACCACGCCCTTTATGTTGTATAATTATTTTTAATTTATCTTAAACTTAAGATTTTATTTTTTTTCATCCCCTGTAATAAGTTAAGAAGAGAAAAACAAAAAAAATTTGTTTTTTTTTTTTTTTTTTTTTTTTTACTATTTATTATATTTTTTAATTCAACAGTTTGAGTTGAGAAAAAAACAAAACATGATTGAAATATTTTAAAAAGTAATTTATAATAAATAAATAAATAAATTTTAGTCAATGTATGCATATAACTCTGAAATTTCGAAAAATCAATTCCTGTTTAATATCTTTTCATTGGTTACCAACCTTTTCAGTTATTTTATTTGAAAAAATATTTAAGATGTCTTTCAGAAAATTTAAAAAAAAAAAGAGCAATATTTAAAAGTTTTTTGAATTTAATTATTTAAAGACAAGGATTCTATTTAAAAAAAAAAAAAAAAAAATTTATATATTTTTTTAATTTAATTCATTTTTTATTCTTCATTTAAAGTCTAAGTTTAAATTGATGAATTTTTTTTTTTTTTGAAGATACCTAAAAATTTTTATTATTATTAAGGAGTTTACTAAAAAAAAAAAAAAAAAAAAACAAGCCTACTATTTACAAAATTTAAATTTAAAAAAAAAAAATTTTTTTAATGAAATTTTCTAATTTTTTTTTTTTTTTTTCACGACTGCCATTTTAAAACTTGGTATACATTTTTCATTTTAAAAATTTTAATTAAAAACTTTGTAAAAAAAAAAAATTCTAAGCTTATAAAGGGCAAGATCAAAAGACTTCTTTTGTAATTAAGGTAATAATAAACCTAAGACGCCAATTTCTATGCCTTCGTATGCAATCCTGTTGTAAAAAAATCATAACTGAGTAAATCACATATTGTGGGGGTCTCTTTAAAGAAATAAGCAAACACTTTTCATTTATTTAATTTTTTTTTAATGAGTACCAATATCAAACATAAAATTTTGTCCAACGGGATTGTAGAAAACAATAATTTAATTAAAAAATAATTATATTTATATCTATGGCTTTGTTAAATGTTGTTTTTAAAAAAATGAAGTTGAAAAATAGGTTTTGGAAAGTTATACCTAATGGAAGAAAAACTTAAATAAAAATTTTACATTTAAGTCTAAATTTATTTGTTTTACTTAAAACAATTCTTCTTTTCTTAATTTTATAAATTATTAAATAATAAAAAGGGATAAGAAAAAAATTTTTTTTAGAATCAAACAGTCTTAAAAACATACTTAAAAAATAATTGATTTTATTCATTTAGAAAATTTTGTATGTATTGGATAATGAAAAAATTATGACTGGTAAAATAAAAGTAAAATTTCATTGCAAAAATGAAATGGACACAATTTTGTTCAATATTAATTTAATCCGTAAATAATTATTTAATTGGTTTTGTATTTTGCATGGATTTTGTATGTTTGCATTTTTAAGAGCATCATTTTATTTAATAAATAATTTTTTTTTTACATAAAAAATTACAATAAACTGTTGTTATAGTCTATAGTGCACAAATCTACACTGAACCCTCTTAATAAGTTAAGCAGTTTACATAAATAGCAGAATAAAATGTAAAAGAAAAAATTGCATTGAATTTTCAAATGTATTTTCTTTAATGGGGGGGTCTTAAAAGTAAATGATTATTTTTATCCGATATTTGACCAGAAAAAAATTATTTGTATTGTTCCTGTTTTTAAAAAATTTTCTATTTGTCCACAGAGAACTATTTTAAAAAATGTTTTTTTACGATCAATTCATTCTTGGCTTTAAAATTTCTATTTACTGCTTATTAAAAAAAAAACAATGATTTCTATTTACTGCTATTAGCTGCTTTAAAAAAAAAAAAACATTGATTTGTTATCTTTGTACTGTTGTAATATTATTACATTGATATATATTTATATTTACGTACAAATTACAAAAAAAATGTTATTATTATCTTCTTAGTATTTGTATTATTATTATCATATTCATACAATCTGATCTGTTTTGTTATACAATATTTAAATTATTCATTTTAATTATTTTGTTGCTGGAAATAAGAAACCCTTTTTAATTTTAGTCTTTCCAATAAAATCGTGTTTAAGTAGATAAGCGTGATATACATCATTCAACTATTTTTTTTTTTTTTGGGGGGGGGGGGGAGGGAGGCTTACTTCAAAATATTAGTTAAGTTAAACTTTTTTTTTGAATGTGTTATACAGAAATAATCGATTTAATTATATCTTACATATCAATTTAAAAAATTATTGTTAAAAATTAATAAACAAAATCATTTTTTAAACCTTTCTTCTTTTGAAAGTATTATTAAAATCTATCATAAAAAGCTTAGATTTATATTACATTTGAAATTTTACAACATTTAAAAACATATAATTATTATTTGTAAAAAATTATAAATTATAATATCATTTTTATTAAAATTTCTCATTGAATACTTAAGTTTTTTTTTTTTTTTTTTTTTTCAAATTTTTAGTGATTTAAAAAAAATTGCTGTTGTAATGACATAGACTAATATTAAATTATTTTGACTGAGATATTCTTCATAGTTTTCAGTGAATATACAAAGCCACTATTTGAATGATTTAATGTGTCATATATACATTTTATAATTACTTACATGTGGCCATTATAGTAAAAATATTAATTAATAAACCGCTCAATTATGTCGAATTTCATTTTATTGAATTTACGTCTATTAGATAATCCATTTTAATATTAAAAAAAAAAAAAAAAAAAAAAAAAAAGAAACTATTATTTTAGTACTAAAATAAAAATAAAAGTATTTTGTTCATATTTTTTTTATCTCTTATATTTCAATAGAACAATAGTTTGCATAATAGAAAGGAAAACATAACAAATAATTTAATAGATTTTCTTTTTATTGAATTGCAATCAATAATGTGCAACACATTATCGATTGATATCAATTACTTAATTATTACTAAAAAATTTAAATATAATGTCTTTTTAACATATGAAATTATGTTATTATACAGAATGTAACATATATTTTTTTGTAATGAAAAACACATGTTCTGGAACAAAATATTTCTTCAAATATGTGTTTAAAAAACCTAAAATTATATTTAAAATTCTCTTACTAAAGGTTTTAAATGCAAAAATATTTATTACTATCTTAAATTTAGTATAGTTTAATTAAGCAAATTTTTATTTAATGAAATCAATTTTTTTTTTTTTTTTTTTCAGGGGCCGGAGAATCTGGGAAGAGCACAATAGTGAAGCAAATGAAGTAAGTTATTTTAATATTTTTAATATTAATAATATATATTGTTCGTAGAATCGATTGATCTTTATATGAAAATATGCTTTTATTAAGTGACCTTATGCAACAGTATTTAAATGCACTATTCTAAATTTTCCAAAACGGTTTACATAATTGTAGTTTTTTATAAATGTGTATACCTTATATAAAAAAATTTAAAATTTTAATATTATTATCAAAAGTAAAATATAATTATGTAACAATACATATATTTATAATTACTAACAAATTTTTTTTTTACATTTTACAAAAATGTTGTAATAACTTTATAATATTAATTGTTTATGAAATGAACGAGTTCATTTGCCTTTTTGACATCGTATCCATCCCCGTGAAAAATTCTCATTTTATTAATTTGGGTTTTTATAGTCTAAACAGCTTTTTTGTTTACATATCTTTCTTTAGATACCAGTAAATCATTCATATTATTTTTAATTGAAATTCTCAAATATTTAGAAATTAAAAAAAATACGGTTAAATTAAATTTTCATAGTTCACCAGTCGTGAGCAATACTATTTTCTTCTTATACCAAATAAACGCTTATTATTAAATCAATAGAATTTTACTTGTTGTTTC